GGTCACCCGAGGATGCAACATAACACGTCGATCCTGCGGGAGGGGGCCCTGTCGCCGGTACCCCGGTGGGCTGTCACCCTCGTCCCGGGTGCCGAGGCAAAAACCCTGAAGGGCGCACCCCCGGGGTGGTGCTGTATTGGGGGCCTCCGGCCGATGCGCCTGGCCCGGGTGGGCACCAGGCTTAGGTCGGGCATGTCCTTCTGCAGGGGGACTATTCAGGCATAGTCAAACAATAGTCTGGGGACTTTTTTTTCGGGGGGGGGAATTTTGGTTAATATTTGGAATATTTGTATTTTTGTTTCTTTTTCGTCCAGAATCCCCCTGTAGTCAGCGTCACCCCAACATACTTATACTATATGTGCGTCGCACCCCCAGGGGCGACGCGCGCACCGAGACATCTTGTAGTATACGCGTCGTTGCGGGCGCTTTCTGGCCACACCGCTCACGATGGGTATATCATATTTATTTTCGGGTCGGACGCGCACCTCCCAGGAGGACATATAGTACTAGGATGTCTCTGTGCGTCCCACTCTGCATTTTTCGTCTAAAATCCCCCTGTAGAGGGGCAGGCACGACCTAACACCAGACCGAGAGCGGGTCTTGTGACGGGGCCGCGGGCTCAGAGCACGAGGGGAGGAGGGAGGTCGGGGGTTGCGGAAGGTGTTCCTGGCCCGAGCTGCCTTTGATTTTCGCTCCATTTTGTGGTGACTTTGTTTTCCACCACCACCACTACTCAAGTTGGAGGAGGGAAGGAGGAGGACGAGGAGGAGGGGGAGGACGAAGAGGAGGAGGGGGAGGAGGTGGACGAAGAGGAGGAGAAGCAGGAGGAGGAGGCGGAGGAGGACGAGGAGGAGGAGGAGGAGGAGGAGGAGGAGGAGGAGGACGAGGAGGACCCCCTCCCCTCCAACTTTTGGTGGTGGTGGTGGTGGTGGAAACTAGGCCCATCATTTTGGTGCCCCTGGGATCCTCTGGGCCTTGTTCACCGAGCGCGTTCCACTACTCGCAAAGTGCCTACTCGCAAACGTCCGAAAAAGCACACGTTCGCCTCGATGTAGTTTATCGCATAGATCCTCCACGGCAGATCCAGGTCATGTGCGAATGGTGACTTTACGACTAGTGGAACGTGCTCGTCTATTTGTGACGGGGTGCTCTGGAGGCTGCTGGTGCCTCGTTGGAGATCCTGGGGTCACATGGGACCAGGGACGCCTCTCGCAACACCCGAGGAGGGAGGGAAGGAGGGAGCGCCAGCACGAGTGATCTGACGTAATTCGTCGGTCAGGCAGAAGTCAGGAGGGGAAAAGGCATACAGAAACAATTCATCGTCGACTCCCAGGAAAAAATATTGGAAAATGTGGGAAGTGGGGCGTAAGACGACAACCCAGAAAATATGGGAACACATGGGGAATCCTGGGATCTGTGTGTACTTATTCGTGTGTCCCTGGGCCCCGTCAGGGAAGAAGGGAGCGCCAGCACGAGCGATTCCACGGAATTCGCCGGTCGGGTAAAAGTTGCAATCTTTCCCGACCGCCGCGGGGATCGCGAGCGAGGTGTGCCCGACCGCGGCGGCGTATACTCTGGTGCCACTTTCTCCCTTACGCAGGGCAGGGCGAGGTCAACTTGCATTAAGTCGGGCATGTCTCTCTACAGGAGGAATATGCAAAAATAGTAATACAATAGTCAAGGGGACGATTCTGCTGGTATGTTTTGATGATTTTCGAGCACTCTTTGACTGTTTTGGATTTTCCCAAATCCGCCCGACCTAACCTTACGCAGGGCAGGGCGAGGTCAACTTGCAGCACGACGCCCGCGACGACCTGTGGAACTGAACTGCCAGGGCATACTTGAGGCAGTGATAATCGAAGTAGAAAACGCCATACACATAAACTTTAGGCGCTCCGCGCGGATTTCTTGGATCCGCGCTGGGCCCTCCTGGCGGCGCCTCTGGCGCCGCCCCTGGCGCGCTCCGCGCGCCGGGGAGGGGGGGGGGGCCCAGCGCAAGTCCAAGAAATCCGCGCGGAGCGCTAAAAGTTTACGCTTATGGCGTTCTTTTTTGCTCAAGGTAAGCAGCCCTGCGGCAGCGGGCTGTGCTCGCCCTGTTGTCCGCGAGGGCGGCGGGGAGTCCAGGCGAGAGCCACCACCTGCAAGGAGGCCACGGGCGCCCAGGCCGCCGCGCGGACTGCCCAGAAGCCGCCCGCAGAGCCCGGCAGCTGCGGAGTCGTATCCCTCGGAGGCGAAGCCCAAGAACCCACCAAGCGGATACATAGATCGGACACTGGAGCATGCAGTGAAAGCCTTGAGTAAGGAACTCTTACTTTTCAAAAGGGGCTCGGTCGTTCCTCAGGTTTGCATGCGTTCCGCTACCTTTTTGGCGGCGACCCTCTTGGTGGCTTCATGGGCTTACTTGGAAAAAAAGGGGCTTCGTTCCTTATTTATGGTTCCTTAGGTCAAGACCCTCACTGTATACATTACCAGTGACGGGCGGTTTTTCAATCCCCGGACTTTTTTGAGGGTCGGGGACGACGTCGGGGTGGTGTGGTGTATACTTTTTCCCCGTTTTCCGGGGAAGCAGCGAAGACTGTATTTACCAGGATCCCGTATACACCAGGATCCGCTTTCCTGTGCGATATTCAGTGTGAGGCCAGACAAAGGCGTCGGTGTATAGAGTTCGGTTCCCTAATTGAGGTACGCCCAGGGGGGGGGTCGGTCACTGCCATGGCAGTGCCCTTGTGGCTCCTCCTCATCCCACCGAGACGGAAGTCAAGCAAGATGTGGAGGGATTCAGGACACAGGAACGAACCCAAGTATCTCCATCACCGTTGGTGAGTGCACGACGCTGTATCAGGCGCAGCGCACATCGTGAACACCGCACGGCAAGATGAGGCACCAGCACCAGCCAAAGCCACATCAAGGCATGCGCTCTTTGCTCTGGTTGCCAGCCTGCTCAGCGGTATGCCCCTCGATACCACCAGGAAAAGAAAGGCCCGAGCAGTGCACCGCCGCCGGGCTCCAGCCCTGGCCCCGTCATGCGTCGTGAGGAGGCGAAGGTTTCGACTCAGGGCATCACGAGGGAGCCGAGGGCTAGCTGCGGAGACGCCTCGAGCTGATGCTCGAGTGGGAAGGACGGAGGGTCGCAGGGCGACGGACAGGAGGGAGGGAGGATGAGGACAGGATGGAGGGAGGGAAGGTGGAGGAAGAGGGAAGTGGAACGATGATGGTGCTGATTACGATGATGCTGCTGCTGCTGATGATGAACCGATGATCATGATGATGGTGCTGCTGATGCTGATGCTGCTGAGCACGATGATGATGCTGATGCTGATGATGCTCATGATGATGGTGATGATGACGAGAAGGATGATGCTGCTGCTGATGATGATGCTGGTAATGATGCTGATGATCATGCTGATGATGACGACGAAGAAGGACAACGACGAACACGACGACGACGGAGATGATCAAGATGATGATGATGATGATAATGATGATGATGATACTGATGATGCTGATGATGATGATGCTGCCGATGATGACGCTGATGATGCTGATGATAATGCTTTTGATTGCTGATGATGATGGTGGTGATGATGATGATGATGGTGCTGCTGTTGATGATGCTGATGGTGCTGCTGCTGATGATGATGCTGACGCTGATGCTGATGCTGATGATGATGATGCTGATGGTGATGCTGCTGCTGCTGATGATGATGCTGATGATGCTCATGATGATGCTGATGCTGATGCTGATGCTGATGCTGATGATGATGCTGATGATGATGATGATGATGATGATGATGATGATGATGATGACGATGAGGATGCTGCTGATGATGATGATGGTGATGATAGTGCTGATGATGATGCTGTTGGCGATGATGATGGGGATGCTGATGATGATGCTGATTATGCTGCTGATGATGATGCTGATGAGAGTGATGCTGATAGTGATTATGATGATGGTGTTGAGCATGATGCTGATGATGCTGATGATGCTGATGATGATGATGATTGTTGTACTGATGATGATGATGATGATGATGATGATGATGATGATGATGATGATGATGCTGATGGTGATGATGATGGTGGTGCTGCTGCGGATGAGGCTGATCATTGTTTTAGTGATGACGACGCTGATGACGATGATTCTGATGATCATGATGCTGATGATGGTCAGGATGATGCTGATGATGAGGATGTTGCTGCTGATGATGCTGATTATGATTATGCTGCTGATGTTGATAATGATGATAGTGTTGGTAAGGATGAGGCTGATGATGCTTATGAGGATGATTATGATGCTGATGATGATGCTGTTGCTGATGATGACGATGACGATGACGATGCTGCTGATTCTGATGATGCTGATGTTGATGCTGCTGCTGCTGATGATGATGATGATGATGATGATGATGGTGGTGGTGGTGGTGGTGGTGGTGATGATGATGATGATGATAATGATGATGGTGATGGTGATGACGATGACGATGACGATGACGATGACGATGATTGTGGCGGACGAGGAGGAGGAGGAGGAGGAGGAGGAGGAGGAGGAGGAGGAGGAGGAGGAGGAGGAGGAGAGGAGGAGGGAGAGGAGGAGGAGGGGGGGAGGACGAGGACTTTGAGGAGGAGGAGGAGGAGGAGGAGGAGGAGGAGGAGGAGGAGGAGGAGGAGGAGGAGGAGGAGGACGAGGACGAGGAGGACGAGGACGAGGACGAGGACGAGGACGAGGAGGAGAAGGAGGAGGAGGAGGAGGAGGAGGAGGAGGAGGAGGAGGAGAAGGAGGTCCGTAGCCATTTTGGCTCAAGTCCGGAGTATTTCGCTCAAGACTGGAGCATTTGGCGTGGGGGAGGCGCGCCCCCGCCCGCGATCCTGCGGCCAGTTTCTGGCCTCAGCCCATTTTGTGAGCTCCTGCTGGAGCATTCATACTCTTTCAACATTTCCCTCGTACGGTACCTCCCTGTGTCAGTGCGATGGGCTCTTCTCGTCGCGGCCAGCCTGGTATGCGTGATGCGAAAGGAGACTCTCGCCAGTGGACGCGGGTGGGGAACCAGCCCAAGAGTGGAGGTGCGGAGTTGTCCAAGGCTCCGTGCCCACACTGCGGATGCAAGAAGAACCTCTCGCACTACTGGTTCTGCAAGCACTGCCTCGAGCCGCTCGCTTATGTCCAGCCGTCGGCCCATCGGCCCGCAGGTGGCGTCTGGGCCCTACCTCCGCTCGGATCGGTCCCGTCTCACGGAGAACAGTTCCAAGGGAAAGGTGAGGCGACGGCTGCGGGGCGCAAGGGAGGCAAGGCAGGCAAGGGCAAAGGAGTGGATCCCGCAGCCTGGCCCAAGCCTGTTGGCCTCCACGGGCAAACGGCCGCGGCCCCCACCCTGCAGCCGACCCTGCCGTCGGGGTTGCAGCTACAGGCCTCGGGGTGGGTGGGCCAAGGCGGTGGCTCAAAGGCTGATGCTTGGACGAAGTACTCGAAGGACGACATCCCCAAGCTGCGCCTCATCCAAGAGAATTTCCAGAGCTTGGGCGATTCGGCCCAGGCGGCTGTGTATGCTTCTTACATCGACAGGCTGCAGAGAGCGGGCCCGCGGGCTCCCACGGTCGGTGTGTGCCAACACGCCATGCGTGAGGCCAAGCAGCACTTGGAGAAGCGTGTACGTGTGGCCGAGAATCTCCAATGTCAGCTGGTCCAGGCTCAAAAGGCTGCTGTGCAAGCCATGCGTGAGTTCGAGGTTTGCTAGGACAAGTACCACCAGGCGGTCAAGCTCCTTGCCTCGGAGGTGCCCCCGGCGGAGCCTCCAGCAGCTCAGGCGGAGGCGCCGCGTCATGGCTTCAGCCTGGAGAAGCTGCTGGGCGGCGAATCTTTCGAGATCTTCGAGGACGACGGGCTCTTCGGCTTGGAGGCTGAAGGCGTCGAGGTCACCGACCCCGAGAAGGAGGAGGTGGCCAAGCGGAAGCAGGAGGTGGAGCAGACCATCAGGCGCGCGGTCACCGAGGCATTCGGGGCGGTACGCGTGCGCGCGCAGGAGCTGGTTGCGGAGCAGAAGGCCTTCAAGCAGCGCATGTTGTCCAAGAGACGGCGTGTGGATGAAGTGTCCAGTGCTGCCCCTTCGGGGGCCGATGCTCCGACTGCCGAAGGTCTCCATGACGATGAAGCGCGTGAGGGTGTGGCTGCTGCTAGAGCCGCACCACCTCCACCCCAGGCACCTTCTCAGGAGTCGGTCGCAGCGGCCGTGGATCTGGCAGGCCGTGGAGGTCTGCACTCCCCAGTCGACGATGATGTGGAGGACTTGGCCAAGGACTGCGCTGCCGCTACACGCCTGGTGCATGCTGGAGTGTCGGGGCTTTAGCATGGCAAGGTCGGGTACTTCGACATCTACATGTGCTGCGGCTTGGGCTACCTCGTCGGGGTCGCTACATTCGCCCACCATGAGACCACTGAGACCCCCCTCGGACGAAACCCTGGGTAGGCCAGTGTCCTATGGGGGCTGGGACCGCCCAGAGGGACCCCCAGGGAGTGAATCGGTGCGGGTATGGTGGGCAGAGAGCGCCACATGTTCGGGGCACGTCTTGCCTCCCGAATGTTCTTCTGCGAGCTATTCGTGGACAGGCTCGCGATGGGGGCCAAGCAGCTCTGCTACGGCTTCCATCTCTCGTCCCCACTACTTGCTGCACGCGGACTCGATAGACAGTTGGTCAGGCACATTGCCCCCGTCAGCGGGGTCCCGTCATGTTTCTCAGTCGCCACAGGCGGGAGTGGTGCGTTTCGATTCTTTCGCCATGCAGTGGGTCCAGTTTCCTGGTGGTCTCCATCTCGCTGGGGGCGAAGCAGATCTTGGGGCGGCCCTGCGCTCGTTTCCTTCGGCTCCGCGATGGCGCTGCGCTTCGGCCTCTCCATCATCGGGCCCCTCCTTGTCGTCATCTGAGGGTCCTCAGGCAGGAGCTTGGGGCCTGGCTCGTGCGCTCGTGTTGCCTGTGTCTGGTGGGGTCCTCAAGGCCAGCGGTAGAGCTCCTGAGGTCCCCGTCCAGGCTAGTGGTCAGACGCGTGGGCCTCCCTCGGCGAGTAGTAACGCTGAGAGGGGCCCCGACTGCGCTGCAGGTCTCACGTGTGTTTGCGAGTCGCTCCAATATTCTGGCCTCCCCCCTCCGAGAGACCCCAGCCCCAGTTGTGCAGTTTCGGATTCCCTTCATAAGCTCTCCAAGAGGAAATCTCGCAGGACTCGGGAGTTCGTGTTGGAGACGCGCAATGCCACGTCATGGTCTTCCCTTCAAGAGTTTCTCGTGAATGAGGCCGAGTCGTCAGCGGTCTTCCTGCGGGAGGTGGCCACGGACGAGGATACCCAGAAGGCTCGAGAGGACACCATTAAGGCCCACGGCTGGCAGCTGGCTCTCAGCCCGTCTGTCGTTACTGAGCGAGGGGGATTGTCTGCTGGGGTCGGCATCGCGGTCAGGAAGCACATCGGCATGGGTAAGGCCCCCAACTTGGTGAAGGCGCCCCGCGGTCCTCGCAGGGTCCTGGCGACGCATGTCAATAGTTTTGTTCCTGGAGGCTTTATCGCTGTCAGCCTGTACTCGTGGGATCGGGACCCGCTGGGGCAAGAGGGAGGCCACTTGCTGGCGCGTCTTGGGGAGTACCTTTTTTTGGCTTGGGCATTCCCTTTATTATTGGGGCTGATTGGAACTGCACTCCAGAGGATCTCGAAGCGTCCAACTGGCCTGATAGGCTAGGAGGTGCTCTGGTTAGGACGGCCGAGCCCACGTGCAGGTCCACCAGCCACAAGTGGAGGACCATCGATTTCTTTGTGGTCAGCCGTGCTCTCCTCGGGGTCTGCCACAAGGTTGCCAGGCGCGAAGACGCATGCATCAAGACACATTGGCCAGTTCTTCTTACACTGTCAGGAGACCCCTTGAAGGAGAAGGTGCGCATGCTCAAGCGTCCTCGTGTTTTTCCTGTTGCGCTACGTGTTGGTCCTCGCCCTGAGCAGCCAGACTGGTCTGACCTGATTATCGCTGCGGAGCGGCGTGGCGGGCCAAGCGAGCTGGACCAGGTTTTCAGAGCCTTCTTTCGGCGTGCTGAGGATGAACTCATCTCGGCGCACTCCATTGACTCTCTGGAGGCCCCTAAGTTTCGAGGCCGTGGTCGTCAGCCTAAGTTTGCTTGGGTTCCCGCTCTGCGCAAGTCAGGAGGGGCCTATCCAGTGGGCTCGGCTGAATCCAGGGGGTGGAGGAAGGTTGCTAATTGGGCTTATGAACTATACCACATATCCAAGAAAGGGGAAGCCTGGGGTGATGATGAATCGGTTGCCATTCTCGACAAGCTCTGTAAGGGGCCTGCCTGTCTGGCGGGTAGCACGGCTTGGCAAGGCTGGCTCCCCCCGTTGGAAGTGCTATTTTCTTCAGCACCAAGCAGTGGCACGGCCTGTTCTGCGCGGCGACCAAGCTCGCGACCAAGCACGAGCTGGCCGCCAAGTCGGACCGAGGGGCGAAATGGATGACCTGGGTCGCCGAAGCTGTCTCGGATGGGGCTGGTAAGGCCCACAAGTATTCGAAACCCTCCATCGGTTGGATCCCCTCCACCAGCCTCCAGGGAGCCCCACCCCCTGGGCCTCAACAGCAAGTGGACGAGCTCTGGGAGGCTTGGAAGGGAGTCTGGAAGCCGTCACCTAAGTCGGAGGCCATGCCAGAGCCTGTGGCCTACTGCACCTCCCTCTTGCAGCAGCAGGCTAGCGAGAGGGGGGTTTCTGTTGAGGATCTGTGCCCACCTGTCCGCGACCCTGAAGTCATCAGGAGAGTGGCTTCTAAGTTCAAGAGGTTCGCGGCCCTAGGAATCGACGCGCTGCGCCCCAGGGAGCTGGCCAATCTCCCGGGCGGGGCCCTCAAGTGCCTCGCCCTGCTCTGGCATTGGCAGGAGTGCTCGGGCATCTTCAGCTCTGCCATCGCTCTCATCCTGTTGGCGCAGCTTCCTAAGCCTGAAGGAGGTTACCGACCCATCGGCATCGAGAGTGGGGTCAGCCGGGTTTTCCACAAAATTGCTAGGCACGAGGCTGTGGAGTGGGAGGATCGTCATCCTAGGTCATACCACTACGGAGTCAAGGGGAAGTCTTGCGAGAGGGCCGTCTGGGAGCAGAGTCTCGCTGTTGAGAACCACAGCCTCATGGGGTTCACCGCGGGGCTCACTTTGCTTGACCTCACCAAGGCGTATGAAAAGTGGTTTATTTCCTTCTCGTCCAAGCCGCGGTTGCTTGGCATTTTCCGATTTTCAGGCTCAGGCTTCTTATCGCGAAGTACAGAGGACCTCGGGTCCTCAGCTTGTCTGGTGTCTGCTCGGACGTGGTGCATGCGTCGCAGACCATCTTGGCAGGGTGCCCGTTCGCCACGACGCTGCTCAGGCTGTTTTTGCCGTCTCCCTTGGATCAAGTGTGCGAGCACTTCCCGTCCGCCGTCCCCTTCAATGTGGTCGACGACATTGCGCTGTTCATGGGGGGGGGGGGCTGCCAAGGTGGTCCAGACTCGTCTTGGGAATGCTGCGGCCTACTTATGTGGGCTGCTGGAGGGCCAACTGCTGGTTGTCTCGGAGTCGAAAGGCAAGGTTTTGTCCTCGTGTTCATCGGTGGCCCGTGGGCTGGCCAAGCGTCTGAGTAAATGGAAGTTCACCGCCCCTGCGGCTACCAAGAATCTGGGGTGCGACTTTGGGATGGGGCCCAAGGGTCGCAGGTCCGGGGCCGTCGTGGGGTCCCGTCTTCGCAAGATCAAGGGTCGTCTATCCAAGTTTCGCAGCTTCCGCAGCTCTTTCCAGGGGCTCATGAAGGTCATCAGGGGAGGGGCGCTCCCGCAGGGCATGTACGGGGCCATGGTCAAAGGTGTTGACGATAGGCGTGTCCGTTCTTTGAGATCCCCCCTGGCCTCGGCAACTTTCGGAGCTGCTCGAACTCGAGGTCGAAGCCGCGCGCTGGAGTTTATGATGTCCTCTGTTCCAGAGGCCGATCCCGAATTTGATGCTAATCGT